GAGGGAGGGGTGAGAACACTATTTTATAAATAGAATTTGAGTAGCCTTCTAGTACTCCCCTCAGAAGGAACCCAGGGGCATGAAGGTCAAGATCCTCAGATGCGTGTGACAGAGTGTGTGAGGAGCCAGGCACAGGCCCATAAACTGGTTCTGGGTTCAGCAGTTAGTGGCAGAACCTGTGGAGAGGGAGGAGAGGGCAGGGTCAGTTCCTCAACTCGCAGCCAATATAGGATTATCCACCTAACAGGTAAACTAGGATTTACTTATCAATCTGTGGCACACAATTCAATACTTTGTAGCACACTGAATATTCCATTTCTAGGGATGGCTGATATCTCTCTCAGCCCCACAGCATATTCCTATAGAATTAATGCCTCTTCAGATTTTCAGTTTGAGACAGGAATAGCGTATCCAGCACCACAGGCTTTCTGGTGTTCACTTGGATAGCTTTACATGAAGTAAAGCCCCTGGGTCCTCTTCCTCTGCTCACACACCACCAGTCTGGGCAGGCCCACCACACACAAGCACCAGCCACAATTCTTCTCTCAAAGTGCCTGGCCCAGGCCAGGGTCCCAGAAGGCCTCTCCCAGAAACAAACTTACCTGGAGTGATGAATGGTTCAGCGTTCTCATCTATGGGGCTAGAAAAGGAACATGTCAGATTAGATTAACATCCGAATCTTTTTGCCTTCTCTCTAAAATCCCTGTTGTTCCCTCCCCAGCAAAGCCCTTGTTATTCTCCATTGCCTTTACAATAACACAAAGGTCTGCAGACTTCTAAGATTTGGGGTCCTGTGATTCTCTGTGACTCTCATTCCATATTCAGCAAGGAGTTAGGAAAATGTCATCTTTGTCCAAGGTTTAGGAGTTCACTCCCTAATAAACAGGTCTGCTCAACATGAGGTGAAAGAGAACGGGAGCCCCATCTTACTTGTGCTTTTGTCTGGACTTGCATCTGCATTTGTTACCTGTGGGAGGAAGATATGGTTGTGTCTGAGTGTCTCAGATGAGTGATGGATGGGGAGGGCCCTGTCTCCTGAGCTCCCAGTCACCCACTCACTCAGAATAAGGAGGATTCCAATGAGGCACATGATCCCTGCACAGATCATCCCAGACAGCTGGATGCTTTTCCAGTCTGAGGGGAAGAACAGAGTATGGGTTTATAGCCCAGTTAATCTACACTCACCTCCGTTTTACCCCTCACCAGCTTATGTGGAGCAAACGAGGCAGGGTGGGATGTCAGCCCTTACCGTAGTAGAAGGGACTGTCTTTATCTGCAAGAGGAAAAAACCGACAAGAACCAGAATTTAAGCAGGGTCTTATAAGGAAAAATGAAGCCACAGAATGGACAGGGCAATTTGGGGCCTAACTCACCAAAAAGGTCATTGGCTTCTAAGGCTGGCAGGCCTAGATGGAGAGCACAGAATTGAATGTTATTTGTGACATGGGCCCCAAAGTAAGTCAGCCAGCAGAACTACCTGTATCCCCACACCCTGTGTCAGCATCATCTGTGATACTCTGGAGTCCCCTGTTCCAAACCCATGTGCCCCTCACCCCAGCCCTAAACAACTCAGATTTTACCTCCCTTCATGCTGTGTGGATGCACTATTACTGCTTTTCTTGCTGTTGTTTCTTAGACCTTTTGCTATTCTTTCCTGCATTTCCCATGAGACGGTTACTGGATTATTTTTTATCCCTTCCTAAGGTTTCCAGGTTTTTTTGTTTTGGTTTTTGTTGTTTTGTTTTGTTTTGTTTTTTTAAAGGAGCCCTAGTGGTAAGGAGCTGTGTTACTGACCCAACACATGAAACTACCTGCTGCTCCAAAGGAGAATGATAGTCAATCAACCCTAATGTAATTTACTGCCTCTGAAAACCTGCTGGCGGGTGATTCCAACTTAAAACAACAACGTTTCCTGTAGGTAGCTCTGGTAGCTTAGTGGATAAGGAGTTATGCTACCACCCAAAGGCAGGTGGTTTGAATTTGACAGCTTCTCAGTGGAAGAAAGATGAAGTTTGCTCCTGTATGGACTTAGAGCCTCTGAAAGCCGGCTGGAGGACCAACTGCGAGACCTGTATGGACTTAGAGCTTCTGAAAGCCTGCTGGAGGACCAACTGCGAGTCGATTCCAAGTTGACTGCAATGAGTTTGAAGGTTTCCTGTACAAAACCTAGCTAATAATACTTCGCCTTCCAAAGAAGTAATCCAAAGCCAAGCATGCTGATTCTGACTCAGTGACCCTCCAGGATGGACAGCACTGTTCTGTAGTTTCCAGGGCTGTGCATGGAAGCAGATTCACATGTCATTCTGAGGAGCCCTGGTTGGCTTGAACACTTGCCCTTCAGTTAGTAGCCATGTGCTAACTTTTGTGCACCAGGGAATTAGGAAATGATTCTTATAGGCCAACAAGTGGCTACAGTTTCAAACTTCATCATTCAGGAACCATCAGTAATAGTTTCTGCAATATGCACATTCTACTAGGACTATTCCTTCATTCTCTCTAAATGTCAGTTTTTAAGGACAACACATAATTTTGACATAATGTGTTCTGCAGGGACCTCTGGTGGCGTAGTCTCTGGGGATTACAACCTGCTGCTAAGGCAGCACCTCTGGCAGTTCAAATCTACCCACAGCTCCAAAGGAGGAAAATAGGCAACTTACACCTGTGAGATTTACAGCTTTGGAAAACCACTAGAGTGGCAGCTATAAATTGGTTCTGACTCAAGGGCAATGAGTTTACAAGTGGGAGATGCAATTCTGGGTCTTCTGTGTCTTGGTGGATGGAGTTTGTGGCACGAGGGTCACCAGTGACCTCAGAGAGGAAGAAGCCAGGGGCTTACCTGCTAGCAGTAGAACCCATGTCACTTTTTCCATGTCTCAACTCAGGGCAGAGCAGGGGCTGCAGGAAGAAAAGAGGGCTGAGATGGAATCAGATGTCTGCCCTGGGCCAGGCTTGCTGGCCCCCACCCACACCTGCTCGTGGTTCACAGCTATGTAAGTGGGGGCAGATTTGAGAGGGTCAGGTTCCAGTTCCAAAGATTCTGGTTGTGCAAGTTACTTAATTTCTATTTTCTCATCCAGTGATATAGAAGATAATAACTAGCTCATCATCAGTTAACTGCTTTGGCTAGAGAAAGAGAGTGTAAATCTTTACGACAACTTCATGGGGATGTTTACCTCCTTTTCATGGAGAATATGGTGGTTAAGCAACTTTAATCAGAAACTTAGGTGGCGACACCTCTATTCTGAGGAGTCAGATTTTTTTTAAGCTCCACGATTTGGGGGCTGAGTGTGGAGCCAGGTGGCTAAGTCGGCAGGCTGAATTCCCAGATAGTGTCTCTGAAGCAGCCTGTCCTTCCTTCTCAGGCCGCGGCCAGAGCACAGACAGGGCGGGTTACTCAACAAATAAGGTAAGCATGGGCTTACACACACTTAGTTCTCCATTTAATTCCACTATGCTCTAATGGCCTGGTGGTAAGGAGCCGTGCTGCCAACTCAAAGTCACGAGGTTCAAACCCACCAGCTGCTCAGTGGGAGAAATGTGGGCGATCTCCTCTCACATGTTTTACTGCCCTTGAAAACTCGCTGGAGGGTCGGTTCCAACTCGATGGTGCATAACATCAACATTTCCTACTTAGGAACAGTTTCAAAGAAATATGTGAAACTGTTGGCTAAAGATCAGAAAGTAAGCATAAGCCAGCCTCTGCTCACCTTGTCTTCTCTGTCCCACATAGGGAATAGAAATTTGAAGAGGCTTTAATTTGAAGAGGAAGTTCTGAGAGATTGATAGAGACAGATCTAAATATAGAGTCTTTGATGTTAAAATAACCACAAAATGAGTGAATTTATTCACTGCAGATCATCTGCAGGTCCTCAGGGTAAATAGTGGAAGCATAGCCTGGGGTAGGGGTCATAAGCCAGCCAGTTGAGCTCTAGGGTTGGGGTCAGGTTGCTCCTGGCATCAGGGACTCTGCTCAAAGCAGTCCTTGATTCCACCTTCTGTTGATGTCCCTTTCTTCTCCTTCCTAAGGGTGGGACCTCTCTGGGGCTAAATCTTCCTGCCCAAGAGGTGGCTGTGTCCTTGACATAGAACTTGACCCAGCCTGCGCAGTAATTCAGTATATCCTTAACCTAAGGCAAGAAAGCAGAGCAAGAGTTCCTTCCACACAGCATCCCATGGTTATCTCCATAGGAGATACAGATCTGGGTGACACTCAGTCTCTATTGGCAGTCTGTAAAGTGATTATAAAAATGGCACCCTCATAAATTTATAATGATTTGATTAAATAAATTACCATGTTAAACTTCGGAGCAACCCTTGGCACACAAACCCCTTATTATTGTGTCAATTCCAGCTCCTTGCCAACTACATATTACAGAGTAAAACTGAGCTCAGTTTGCTCAGGACACTCAGTTTGCTTGTTGTTGTTGATAGTGATCCTACGAACAAAAGGCCTGAAGCCCCTCTACATCTATCAACATATCAAAGTTCATAGAGTTTCTGGAGGCATGTTATTTAGGAAGTAGATGCCACTCCTGCTTCCAATTCCTGTTTGCTTAGTTAGAATCATTACTGAAGAACTGCTCTGGTGGAAAGACGGTTAAAGTGCTAGGTTACTCACTGAAAGGCTGGTGGTTCAAACCTCCCAGCCACTGCTTCCATAAAGGTCCTCATCCTTGGCTCTGGGTTAGCAGCACAGCTCTCTATAGACTTGGCCACTGAGCTCCCTGCAAATCTTTCATGTGAACGCTAATACTCAGAAGGCACTCAGCTAAGGCTAATGACTGTCAGAAGGGTAGAGCTTGTCCAGGGGTAGAGCTCAATGCATAAAGATAGACCAAAGGATAAGTAGAAATAAGAATCATGAGGAACAGGGAAGAGAGTAGTTACGTTGTGGGGATTGAATCTGCCATAAAACAAAATGCACATGAGTGGTTGCATGGAAAACAAATTCATTCTGTACACCTTCACTCAAATCACATTAAAAAAAATTGCAGCTTTGGAAAATCTATAGGGCAGTTCTGCTTTGTTCTGTAAGTTCTTAAAAATGAGTTGTTTTTAAAGTCTTCCCTGAAGTAGGTGGTAGCCCATTTTTATGTAGTGCTGCTTTTGCTCTCTTAACAATTGAAAGAGAGAACGCTGGATGGAGGTGATTTCCTTGCAGGGTGACCCACGTGCACTTGCTGACTTTGTAAATGTTTATGGAATAGACTGTCCATCTTTTTCCCCTGAGGGTTGGCTGGTAGGTTTGAATGGATAACCTTTAGATAATTGGCTCAACACATACCATACTATACCAGGAGGGCTCCTTAAGGGACAGGCGGAAGAACTCTTCTGGGTTGGGTTCTAAATATGGTGGCTCTGAGCGCTTAACAGTCTCCACACTGGAACCCTCTGACCTTTCACCATCTGGGATCCTGGGTTCTGAGAATCTCAACTCAGTAGCCTACATATTCCTTAGGGAGTTAGCTCCCATTCTTTTCAAACTCCGTCCTGTTCTGTCTTTAGGACAGAGTTCATAAAGGAGCAGCTCCTGGAACATTAGCCTGTCCCTGCAGGTCCCGAACCCGTATCCCATTGCTCAGAAGCTCTGAGAGTCTTTCTCTCCTTTTCTGCATGCAGCATGCGGTAAGGTTTGATTTCAACCTTGGCTTTCTGTGGATCATTTCCTTCTTATCTTTCCTTTTCACTTTAACTCTTTTGCATGGCCTACCTTTCACTAGCTAT